TTCATCGCCAACAACAGTGACATGGGTTTCGTCGCCGTCTCCCCAGCCGCCTGCCGTGACGTTGGAAATGTTGTGCACCGACCGACTGGCCGACACGCTGGCATGCATCGTAACCGACATTTGCGCACGCTCGCAATACTGCTCCCTACCGCAATCGACGCACCCGCTGGCGTTCTTCTACTGCCCGACAAAACAGACGTTCTCGCTGAGCTTCTACTGCCGCCGCTTGCTGCAGTACAACCGGTGCAGCAAACCGTGCGTGGCGCTGGCGCTGGTTTACTTGTTTCGCGTGCAGAGTAACGAGTATCTGCAGGTGAATGATTACAACGTGCATCGTTTGCTGTGTACGGCGTTGATGCTGGCGACCAAATGGCATGACGATGTTTCGTACGATAACTCGCATTACGCCGCGGTGGGCGGCATTGCTTCTACCAAGGAGATGAACGTTTTGGAGCTGCACATGTTGCGCGTGTTGGATCACGCGCTGTTCGTCAACTCTCACACCTATTCTCAGATTGAGATGTATTTGTTGCAATGGGCGTTTTGCCAATGAGCGCTTGTTTTTCTTTTTTTTTGGCTTTGTGTTGCTCCCGACGCTTTCTGTTGGGGACTGACATGAGTGTTGTACGTTTTGTTTGTCTTGTTTCATTTTTGTACATGGTGCCTTATACCTATACCCCCCATCTGTGTTGTGTTTTTCTTCTGCGAGGCGGCGCTATCAGCCACTGCGCAAGCGTATGTAACTTGGTCAGCCCAGCGCGACCCCAACAGCCGAGCCCGAACGCCTGCACCCGTCCAGTGCAGTTCAATGCATTACGTAGCACGCCATGACGCCATGCACAGCGCGCAGTTAGCAGCGAGTGCACTTTTGCGCAATCAAAAACAGCACAAACCGTGGAGCCTGCTTTACAGTGTAAACCTTTCACCCCTCTTCACGTGCCGAGTGCTGACCGCGCGAGCGAGCGAGCGAGCGCGCGCCAGTGCTTCTTGTTGAGATAGTTGAGCAACGATGTGATAATGGCGATAGATGACACGTACACACACGTGGTGTATCAGCAGCGATGAACATTGCGACGCAGGTGTAGGTTCAGCTAACCTTTCTACCAGATTTGTTTTTAAATTTTCGCTCAGTAAACATGAATTATTTTTAATTCTTTTCCCGGCGCAGTGCCAAAAACCCATGTCCATGACCATATGTAGAAAGCAAATTTTGCTTGTAACAGCAGCCCCAATCCGTCTCAATAAACGAATCGGGAGAGACCACATTCATCACCGTATATATATATATCATTGTCACTTTGTCTGCTGGTCGCCTTCAAGTCCTACTGGGCCAGTCACTGTGTGGGATCTGTGGGAGCTCACTACAAGTATCGCTGGACAAGCTCGCATCAGTGTGTGGCCCGCACACTTTTGTAGCCCACTCGTCTTACAGACTCCATACGTTGTCCCTCACCCCCCGCTCGTACTAGCAGCGACACTTCTCTGCCGCCTCTCAAAATGTGTACACCTGTCCCCAGCGCGCGCGCGCCGCCCCCTTGTTTCCGTAGTCTACCAAGCGTCGCTTCCCAACTCGCCGCCGAGCCCCCCGCCCCCACCGATGCGCTCCGCCTGCACACATGCGTCACCTCGCCTTCGTCGCCCTCCGACCCGCCCTCGTCGCCCTCCGACCCGCCCTCGTCGCCCTCCGACCCGCCCTCATCGCCCGTCTTCGCCCGGCCCGTCCGCCGCCTGAAACCATGGCCAAGTCCTCCGCCGCAAAGGCGCAGCCAGCCGCCGCCCCGCAAAGCGCCGCGCAGCGCGCCGCCATGCTTCACAAGGCCTCCCTCATCTCGCGCAAGCTCCAACAACTCTATCCGCAACCCCCAAAAACCTTTCTCCACCACAACGACCCGTTCACCCTCCTCGTGGCAGTCGTCCTCTCCGCCCAATCCCTCGACGCAAAGGTCAACCAAGTGACGCCCGAACTGTTCAGAATCGCTCCCACCCCGCACAAAATGGCGCACCTGGGCGCGCCCCGTATTCAGCAGCTCATCCAAAAAATCGGCCTGGCCCCGCAGAAGGCCCGAAACATCGCCGCTCTATCCGCCACCATCTGCGAACACCACCACGGACACGTCCCACGCACTTTCGACCACCTCGAGTCTCTCGCCGGTGTCGGTCACAAAACCGCCTCCGTCGTCATGATGCAGGCCTTTAATGAACCCGCTTTCCCGGTTGATACTCACATTCATCGTCTGGCTTGTCGATGGGGATGCGGTGACGCCAAATCTGTTCCCAAAACTGAACGCAATCTTAAACTGTGGTTCCCGCACTCCTCCACTTGGGGCGAATTGCACACTCGTATTATTCTGTTTGGGAGGGAGTATTGCCCGGCGAGAAACCATGATATGGACGCCTGTCCTGTTTGTAGCTTTGCTGCCACCGACGAAGCTAGGGCCGCCAACAACGCGAACCCCAAAAAGTTTGTGGCGCCTGTCAACCATGCCAATCCGTATTCTATCAGGGAGCTACCCCCGTCCAGAGTAGATAGCGAGTCAGACAGCCACTTCACGCCGACCGCCGTCCAGAAGCGGCGCACTACTGTCAAATCGACACCTAAACGTCGCAAAGCCACTGCACCTGCCGCGCCCAACACCAAGCAACTGCAAAATGATCAACAGAACGCTGCAACAAAGCCAAGCACACGAAGACGAAAGGCTGCAGAAAAGGCTCATCAGCCTGACGTCCAAGTCGAAAAGAGGCCTACGCGGAGACGAAGGACTGTGCAAAAGCAAGATCAACCGAGTAACGACGCTGGGATAGCGGGTAGCACGAAACGGGCAGCGCCTGGTACAACACGACAGACTAGCGTGGGCAGTGTGGAAAACGTGCAAGACCGGCAACAGCAAAAGGCGGAAGAAATGGGAGAGGGGAGGAGAACCAGCTCGAGACTTGCTTTGAAACGAAAACAAAAAGGTTTAGCATAAACACATTTGGCAAAGCACGTATTCGGAAAGAGAAATGCTTTTTATGTACGATGTACGACTGTTGAAAACCACAGAGATAGCAATGACAGCACAAGCTTCACTGTTAAAAGGTATATAGTTGTTGTGCGTTGTTTTTTTTGGTGGAGGCAGGTGGAGGTGGAGAGGTGTGGAAGGGAGTGAGTATCTTTTGAAGAAAGGTCAACATAATAACATAAATCTGTAACGGGTTGGCTGTACGGGGAAACGTACGTGTGGGAGCACTACAACGTTGTGGGTAGTAAGGTACAGAACGGCAACGGATCAGATGCTTCCATGGTACTCATGTGCTGTATGAGTACGCGACGTACAGGCAGATTGTTCGGGAAGAAAGCAAGGCCCACGAACAGCGCACACACAGTGCGGTTGTCTCATGAGTAGGAAGTAGAAGCGTGTTGTTGAATACTTTCAAGGTTTCTCAACCAATAATCACGTCTCATGGTGTGGTTGGCAGCAACGGTGTACCTTCGTTTGGTGGTCTTCAACGCAAATTCACAGCGATATTCCTTGTCCTTGGTGGTGGAATTCTTTCCGAGCAGCACATGGGAGTCCACCAGAACGATCATCATACTGTGATGCAACGCTACGTTTCCTTTTGCATCGTACTTGAACAAGAACAGAACGGGCCCAAAGTAGGCGTGATCGACAATACTTCCGTAACGTTTCTTCCATCCCATCATGGGAACTCGGCTCTTCAACCACAGCTCGCCCTGACATCTGGACAGCGCCTGATCCGGCGCAGGCGCTGGATCCGGTTCAGTAGGTTTCATGCTATTGGTTTTGATCTGATGCACGAGTTGTTTATGCACTCTGATGGTACATCTCTGCAAATCCAAGCGGGCTGCAGCGGCACCCGGACCGATTGTAAGTCGGTCCGGAATATCCAGCCCTTCGTCATCATCGATTGAAACGGCGTTTTCGATCTTGCCGTAATCAAGCGACTTTTCCCAGGGCTTCTGGTTGGACAGCCTTTGCGTAGCGGCTGATGTGCGGGCAGTAGACACAGGGGCTTCGCGTTCGCGATTGGTGATATCCGGTAATGGGGTATCCACATCCATTGTGAAACTGGGGAACTTTGAGTTGACGGCGGCGGACGTGTGGGGCGTGTCGGGTAATTGAGGCGGGGGGGGAGGCAGGTGAACCGGGGCGGGTGGCGGGGGGGTGGGGAGCGACGGAGCGGGCGGGAGAGATGGTATGGTGTCGGTATCAACTGAAGACGGGAGTGTGGGTGGGGCGGGTGGGAATTGTGGGGCGGGCGCGGGCGGAAGTGACGGAGGGGGGGGAAGCAGTGGACGGGGCTTTGGCGGGGCGGATGAGAGGGTTGGCGGCGGCGGTGGTGGCGGCGCGGCGCGCTTCGCATTGGAACGCGGAGCCGGGAGCGGGGGCGGAGGTGGAGGCGGCGGTGGAGCTGGCATGGCGTCGGGGCAGAATGGAGAGGGCGGTGACTCGGCAAAGAAGGTTGTCTGTGTCACTCAGAGAGGCCTTCTGGAAGGGGAAGCGGCGTCACGAAGGGGGAAGGGGGAGGGGGGAAGGGGGAAGGGGGAAGGGGGGGGGAGGGAAGGCGGCTCTCGATGGCAGCGGGGGCGGGTGACACGAGTGGGTGAGAGAAGGAAGCGGAGGGCGGCACACAGGGTGTTTTTGTGCGCGACTGCGGAAGACGGCGGCAGCAGCGGCAGCGGCAGCGGCAGCGGCAGCAGCAGTGGACACGGATAGCGCGCGCGTAACGGATCTGCGCGCGCTCACGGGCTGGCGGCGGTGCGTAACGAGCGTATTATGACGCCCGGATGGTTGCTTGTGGCGTAGCGTTCTCGTGCAACGGTCTGTTTTTGAAATTTCAACTGTTTCAAAGTTTGAAATGCGACGCGCGCCGTGGCGCGCGCCGCGTGCGCTGCTGTTAGCGCTCTCTATATTTGTTATTTGTGCTGCCAGACGTGTGTGGAGCACTAAAAATGAGTGTGTTAAAATTACTGTGGAAAACAGAAACCAGATAAAAGATCATGGACCTGCCGGGCTTCGATCCCGGTACCTCTCGTAGATTCAAACGCTGTGGCGTTGCTGTTGCACGATGCGAAACGAGCACTCTACCAATTGAGCTACAGGCCCAAGTGTACACATTCTTTCTGGCTTTCCACGTCTGTACTTATCCCCATTCCGGACTTTTCACCAGAACACTTTGTTTGACGCTTTGTTGCCGTACTGCATCCGATGCACTGCATCCGTCACATGCGTCGCCTTGCTCCGACCGCCGAAAGCACTCGCACCTCCGCGTGGCACCCACTCACCCTTAGCCTTCCACCTCCCCAGCAAAGGGAACGCCAAAGCGTTGCTTGCGCATCAAACTGTGCAAGCCACAGCTTTCACACGGAACACAACACTCGAAACGCACTTACGACAAATCAAAACAACTCTACAAGCGCTCACACAACAGCAACATCCGTCATCAACGCACTATAAACCCAAGCACAATCAACAAAACACTACATAGCTACGTACAACACACTATTCCACAACAAACATCAACCACTTTCACCATTTCCTCATCCCTCAACAAGCATAGCGCCACCAACCTCATAAACAACCCGACTGCCATCCTTTCTCTCAAATCCTACAGCAACAGTATCACCCAACAACCCCGCTCCAACAAACCGACCGCCCAGCCAAGCCTCCCTCTCCAGGTACGCCATCAAGCTTCCACCACTCATCCGATGTCGCCTTCCCGCCAAGAACGTTCGCTCATTACACTGATCGCGACCCGAAATAAACGCCCCTGGATACGTAGCGCCCCTCGCATCGCTCATAGCCGACAATTCCTCCGCAAGCGTACTCTTTCGGTAAAGCTTGTCAAATACAACAGGCACCTGAACGTCATTCATAAACACCGCACTCTCATCCACAATAGCTCCCCGTCGGTTTTCAATCGCACAGTTGAAGCATCCTTCCAAGCATCCGTATCCATCGCATACATAAAGCGCCACACAAGTCGTCCAAGCCTCAGAAAGGTTTTCCTCTTCCGCAGAAGCCGAATACAATGTGCCTCCATTCTCGTCATACTCAGCGTTCAAATACGTGATGTCCCTGCACAGCGACAGAACCACCTCCGACGTACTGCACATGCGTCGAATGATGGAACGTTTCGGAATATTCTTCCCATTTCGTTCACGCTCATCGCTGATAAGCATGCTCATGAACAAACTCCTGTGACGAATCTCCGTTTGAGGCGCGCTCACGCGGAACGCAATCCCGTCGTACACAACAGCCAGCTCATCGCCTTCGATCACATGATTAGTAGAAGAGCCCGTAGTACCATGTTTGAGGAAGTTCTTCATGTACATAAAGTAGCCACGTGCAGCGGACAAAGTGTCCACTTTGACGTTGGCATTCTTCGACTTGTGACCTAGACAGTGGTACACAATACGACACACCTCCATTCCGTCCGGAACACCATACGCCTCCAGCCGATCCCGCAGCTCGTCCAGATTGGCCGGGCGCATGGCGTCGGCATTTGGAGGTGGATGGATGTACCCAAACCATTCTGGAGTTTCATATTCTTCCCAGACGTTTACCGAAACCGAACAGCTCAACCTGAACTTGTCCTTTCGGCCCTTCCTCCTGATCATGAACAAGTCCTCTCCAATAATGTCCGAGCCGTTCTTGACGGGCCGACTCATGGCATCCGGTAGCACATTAATGTTGGTGAGCGCGGAGGTTTCACCCTCTCGAACAGCGGTGAAGGTGGTGCCCAATCGATCGACGTGCACATACTTGCGGTAGAAGCCCTGCTCGTATATGTCGGTCTTGAGCATCATGCAGAGCACGCGGGTGGTGTAGAACTCCGCGCGAAGCAGGTTGAGACCCGGGACGTCCAGGCCGCCCGCGTTGAGATCATCGATTGCGTCCGGCTCATCGGCGGGGGTTGCGAAACGGATGCTAGAGAGAATGGCTTGCAGGTCGTCCAAGTCGGCATCGAGCGAACTTTCGATGACAGCCTTGAGGATGAGATCAATGGGAGTGTCGTCGGATTCAGTTACATCGAACTGTATTCCCTCCCACAGTAGCGAGATTATAGTGTCGATATGACAAACGAAGAGCACGCCTGCGCCGTTGGATACGAGAGTGACGGTGACTTGCTGGCCGTACAAGGTGATACCCATGAGATTGAGGCGCTCGGCGTGCAAATGGGCCATTGGGGAAGCATTGTTGGTCGGGGTGCCGATGATGAGTTGCACATCACAGGCCACCTGAAAGAGACGCAAGAGTCGGTGATAGTCGCCCTTGATGACGGATTCGAGGCGATCAGGGGAGTCTGGTTCGGTGCGTTGCGAGAGTTGGCGCAACTGGAGCAACTGTTGATCGGGGGAAAGCTGTCTGGATTCATTTTCTACACATACTGCACACGGCTGGGGCGGCTGCTTAACGGGCTGTTTTACGTTGCGCGATACTCGCATTTTGGTGGAGGAGTCTTGTCCGGTAAGGAGACGACGTACGGCTGACATGGGATTATTTGTGGAGGAAGGGGAGGGGCGTTGATGATGGGAGGGGGGATGTATGTCTGAGGCGGCTGTACTAGAGCTGGGGTCAGAAAAGCGGGTGGACTTGAGTTTGGGAGATTTTCGGGACCAGCGTCGGCGGGGGGGGTCGGAGGAGGAGGAGTCGGCAGTACCCATTGGGTGGGGTAGGAATGGGGGGGGGGGGGGGGGGGAGGGAGGGGGGATTATGTGCCTGGGGGGATTGGAGGGGTGGAGTTGAGTGGGGAGTGAACTGTTTGGAGGGGAGTCACGTGGGTGGAGGTAGAGGTGGAGAGGGAACAGAGGGAAGTTGTGTTACGGATCCGGAGATGGAGCGTGGTGCGGGTGCGGCGCACGTTTGCGTGAGCGCTTGGTCATTGTGCGGTGGAGCGCGTGGCGCGCGACGGTGGCACGGCGTGTAATGGCGCAAAGCGCGTTTATTGACAGTGCGCGCCTCGCACGCGTCATGCGTGTACCGATTTGTTTGGCTGTTTTGCGTGCGCGCGCGAAGCGAAAGGCGCGAGGAAAGACCGAAGCGAAGCGCGGCGAAGATGTGGCGAAGCGAAAGCGCGGCGAAGATGTGGCGAAGCGAAAGCGACGCGGCTGTCGCTTTGACACGCGCGGCGTCGCCTGCCGGTAGATATACCGTTGGTAAACGGTTAAAGAGCAGCATAATGTTTGTAACGCACTCGGCTCACAGTGCAGCCACTGCAGTCAGCCCACGCAGTCCAAACGCAACGCTCTCCCCAAACGCAATAATAAAAAAAGTTCCAACTCCCCACCCGCGCACCACCACCAAAAAATTGTCAGCCCCAAACGAAACCGCTGCCAACCGCAGCGCGCGTCCACAAAGCGCGCCTCCGCGCTTCTTCCCCGCCCCAGCCCCCCCGCCACACCACTCGTCATAGCGCACAACTGCGTCAAGTCATGGCGTCGTCTCCACCGCCATCCCGACCGCGCTCTCCCTGTCCCCCCCTTCCTCCGTCCCCCTCCCCTTCCCCCTCCTCCTCCTCCTCCTCCTCCTCCTCCTCCTCAGATTCACCCCCCCCGCGAAAAAGACCGCGCACAGAGCACCAAACCACCCACCAGCAGTTAGCTCATTTCCACACCGCGTTGAACGCCCATCTGGCAGCTGGAGCCACTCTCCATCAAGCAGTTCGCAAAGTCCTCCCAACCAACCATGCTCATTTGTCCGCTCACTGCGCTCCAATATTCCGCGCGCTCGCCGAAAACGCCTCTTTGCAATCAAACATCCCCGCCGTAGCTGCGTTGCTGCACCGTTTCTACCCGCAAAGCGCGCTTTCCCCACCCGCACCTTCATTCCGCGTGTCGCACTTTGCAGACGTCGCTCACTTGTTACGTCGCGCCAAAAACGTCGTCGCGCTTGTTGGAGCGGGCGTTTCGGTCTCGTGTGGAATCCCGGATTTCCGCTCTGCGCATGGCTTGTACCACTCCGTTGCGGAGCGCTTCGGCCTGTCAGACCCGCAACAGATTTTTTGTATCGATCACTTTGAAGATGACCCTTCTATGTTTTTTGAGTTTGCTAGTCAAATCATGCCGCAGCCGCATGTGCGGCCCTCTCCAACTCACCGTTTTCTCGCTGAGTTGCAAAGCAGACGTCGCCTCTTACGCCTCTATTCGCAAAACATCGATGGTTTGGAGAAGAGAGCCGGTGTTTCGGAACAGCGTACAGTCTTGTGTCACGGTTCATTCCTCACTGCAACCTGTACGAGTCGAGCGTGTAAGCGTCGCGTCAAAGGTACTTCAATAGCGCCTCAGGTTGCTGCAGGCCTTGTGCCAAGGTGCATCAAATGCCAAAAAAACTCGGACGATGATTCGGGAGGCGTTCTCAAACCGGACATTGTGTTCTTCGGAGAGAAGTTACCGAATCGTGTGGCAGATTGTTTGGAAACGGATATTGAAAAGGCCGATTTGTTGTTAGTGTTTGGGACCAGTTTGCAGGTGGCTCCTGTCTCGAAGATTCCGGCCATGTTTTACGGACATGTCCCGAGCGTGCTTGTCAATCGTGAACTTGTTGCGGGCCATTTTGATGTCGAGTTGCTGGGCGATTGTGATGACGTTGTCGCTGCTCTGCGTGCCGAACTGGGTTGGCATGATCGTAGTGCTGCGCGTTATGTTGATGATGCACGCGGTGCTGCTGGTGCTGCTACCACAAACGTCGCTTATCACTTTGTACCTCCGAAGCGGTTTCTGTTCGCCAATGTTGGTTCGGAGGGCGCTCGCCGCGATGACCCTGAGGATCAGAATAATTCTAACGAGAGTGAGGACGACGGTGTCACCAACGCAAGCCACACCAGCTGAGCCCTTTTTTTTGATCTCTTTTCCTGTTTTTTTTGGTGTTTTACTTTGCACCAAAGGTGCAAGCGGACATCCAGCTCGGCCGATGATTGGTTCCCAAGTCACTTTTTAACGCTGATATCTTCTTTGATCTCAGCGTCATCTGCTGCTTTAATCTTCTCCTGTTTCGCCGTTGCTCCTTTACCCCATCATACTTCCCGTCTTAGATAATACCATATCCCCTTCTTGCTCTAACTAACAATATCAACTTAAGAATCCTAACATTTCTTTTCATCTGTT